TCACAGACTAAAAGCTATATTACAAAGCTACAGTGATAGAAAATAGCTCTGTACTGGCACAAAAACAGACATAAGGAACAATAGAACAGAATAAAAAATACAGAATACAGAATACAGAAACAACCACAAGCACATTCAAGTATTTGCTCTTTGACAAAGGGACCAAAAATATATACTACAAGTGCTGGGTAAGGCATGGGGAAAAAAGAACCATTCTACACTGCTGGTGGGGATGTAAACTAGTACAACCACTTCGGAAATCAGAAAGATAGCCGCTTTAATAAATGGTGCTGGGAAAACTGACTATCCACATGCAGAAGACTGGACACAGACCCATATTTCTCACCATATACTAAACTTAAATCAAAATGGGTCAAAGAACTAAATGTTAAAACAGAAACACTGAACCTGCTGGAAGATAAAATAGGTAAGACTCTTGAAGTCATGGGCATAAGCAAAGCCTTTCTGAACAGCAACCTGGTTGCACAGAAATAGTACCAAAAATCAACAAATGAGGTCATATAAAATTTTAAAACTTCTGCATAGCTAAAAAAACAACCAACAGAGTAAAAAGACAACCTAAAAAGGGGGGAAATTGCCAGCTATTCCTCAGACAGAGGATTAATATCTAGAAGATATAAAGAACTCAAAAAAGAAAAAAAAAAAAAAGACCACCCCAAATAAAAAGAAAACTCAATCAAAAAATAGACAGCTGAAATGAACACAGTTTACAAAAGTACAAATGGCCAATAAATATACAAAGAAACGCTCTACCTCACTGGGCATTAAAGAAATGCAAATTGAAACAAAACTCAAGGGGCTGGGGATTTACCTCAGCGGCACAGCACCTTCCTGGCAAGCGCAAGGTCGTGAGTTCGATTCCTGGTACTGGAAAACAAACAAACAAACAAAAAACAAAACAAAACAAAACAAAACTCAGATTTCACCTTACCCCAGAAAGAATGGCCATCATCAAGGAATCAAACAATAACAAATACTGGATGGGGCGTGGGGAAAAAAAGAACCCTTCTGCACTGTTGGTGGGGATGTAAACTAGTACAACCACTTTGGAAATCAGTGTGGAGATTCCTCATAAAACTAGAAATTCCATTTGACTGAGTTATTCCCTTCTAGGTGTCTTCCTGAAAGAGTTGTAGATAAATTTTTATATGGTGATGGACAGTGAAGAACTCTGCCCTCTGTTATTCAAGTACTAAATGACCTTGTATTATTTAACTCTGTGTTGCTTCCTTGTGTATTTCATGTTTTTCATGTTTATAACAACATTTAAGCAATTGAGGGTGACCCCAGCAAAGGCAACTTTCTATTTCTTAAGTAATTGTGTTCAAACTCTTCCCTTAAAAGGTGATATTTTTAGTCACACGTTGCTTGTGGTCATTCTTTCTCTAGCTCACATCTATGATTGATCTCTTCATATGTTTTCCCACTCTTTTTATGACAGGTGTTTGAAACGTTCCTTGGTCTCAGATTCAGACGACTGCCACCCATTCGAACTTTCTAGCATTCTGGACACAAGTGACTTAATTTCACTCTTCACACAGCCTGATGTCTTCTCACATGCCTCCGGCCAACCTCGTAGGGGGGTAAAAATAATAAGACAGGTAATATGTAAAAACTGTCTTTGAAAGCCATCGGAACATGGATTGCTCATATGTATCCTGCAGCCTCTAATGCTGGAAAAGCCTTGCAGATTTGCTCTGTTTGCTGAGCTGCCCACTTGCTTTCAGCTTGTCTCTCCCCAGATGTTCTCTGATCACCACCACCTGCTTTTCTGAAGGTCACCCTACTGTTATGGTGTAGATCTAGAATATTCCCCCCCAAAGCCTGTTGTGTTTGGAAGGTAACTGTGTCCTGGGGGCACAGTGGCTACATGTGCTATTAGGAAGTGGGCCCTGATCAAAGGAGGTGAATCCCTGGGGGTGAGGCCTGGAAAAGGGCATCACCCTTCCTGGCTTTCTCTCTCTCTCTCTCTCTCTCTCTCTCTCTCTCTCTCTCTCGCTCTCTCTCTCTCTCTCTCACTGTCTCTCTCTCTCTCTGTCTCTGTCTCTGTCCCTCTGTCTCTCTCTCACTGTATCTTTGTCTCTGTCTCTATCCCTCTGTCTCTCTATGTCTCTGTCTGTCTGTCTCTCTCTCTCTCTCTCTCTCTGTGCTTCCTGATCACCATAAAGTGAGCAGCTTTTCCTCCGCTGTGCTTCCCGCCTGTGCTGTTTCTGCCTTGGACACAGCCATCCATGGGTTGTAACCAGGAATCAAAATAAACCTGTCCTCCTCTGAGTTGTGGGTGTCGGGTATTTTACCCAGTGATAAAGTGATTAAGACGCTTACTCTTTACAAGCCTATTCTGCTCCTTCCCACAGCATCATATCTTTAAACTTCCAACATCCTAAAAGTGTGATGGTCACAACCTCCCTATTCAAAGTCTTCTTTTCTGGTGTTTCTTGTAGGACACTGGGATTGTACAAAGATGTATTCCAATCCTTTCACTTTGCAGCGGAAGAGGCAGGGTACTAAAATTAACCGGTAATTAACCACAGAGCTAGAACTAAATTACCCAAGGCGCTTTTGTTGCAAACACCTGGATCTGGGTCTGGAGAACCCAGCCTCCCCTGATAAATTCCTGTTACCATGCAGAGTTCCCTCGTACTGGGATCCACTCCCTCCAGGTACCATAACCTGCAGGAGGGTGTGGTGGCAGTGCAAAGGGTGGCATCTGAAATCTGCACAGCATTAGCAGGCAGTGCTTCTGCAATCCAACTACCCTCCACTCTGTAAACATAAACAAATCCTACTGCATCCTGAACCTGCACATGATTTGGAAAGGGGGCACATTTTTACAAAGTAAGGGTTTGTTTGTGTTGGGGGGAAAAAAAAGAGCTCTGAATCATCTCATTGAATATGAAATAACATCATTTTGGCTAAGATTTTAGCCTTTTTTTGGTTTCTCTCAGTTATTACTTTGCTTAATTATCATAGTTACAGGCTTATCATTGATCCTCTCTGGCAGAATACTTGGTAGCACGGGTTTCTCTACTCCACTCCATTTTGAAGAGTTCTAGGCCACCTTAGATCCCTTACTCCCATCTTCTCAGAACCTCCACCCCCACCTGGTGGAAGCTTTAGGACTGACCAGCATCGTGTCCTCAAAATATTTTCAAAGCCTTCGCTAGGAGCAAAATTGTGTGTATTTACTTTAGCTTTCCATCAGAGACTTATCTACTGCAGTCAGCTGCCGAGTCTGGCGTGTCCGTTCAGAGACAAGGCCATGGTTGCTTTAGTTCTTATTGGTATTCATGAGCATTCCTTGGTGACTTGTAATGCTAGACGTTTGTATAGCGTTTCATGGCTTTTACATTATCTCCTTGGAGCCTGTGTGCAAGTCAGGGCTGACCTTATCTCCAGTGTATGGATGAAGAAACCTTAGCCGAGAAAGATGAAGTAACTCACCTAAAGTCACTTCGATAATAGTGCGAGGCGGAGTTTAGAATCTCAGCCTTGTGCCAGTACTCTTCCCACTACTCTGCCAAGTAAGTTTAAAGATTGTCTTTGTTTTACTCCCCCACCTCCAACTCGTCTGACAGGGAAGAAAAAAACAAAACCTCAAAAAGTGGAACTAGAAATACTTTCATCACAAAAGGACTTGGCTGCTATGAGAATCTTAAGTCTGTGCCATAATGCAAAAAAGATCAGGCCTCACTTCCAAAATCGCTAATGGAACAGAATGTCAATTATTGAGACAAATGCAAGCAAATCAAAGTTCAATCTCAGAGGTCTGTGCTTTGCAAACCACATTTCTATGCAGCCACTGATTGAAAACAGGCAGTGCACACAGAGTCACGCCTCTCACAATGCTTTCTTTACTTAATGTTTTGCTAAGACCGTGTGGGAATTCTATTGTGTGACTAACGGGCAGTGTGCATGGGTGACGTCACAGAATGCTGCAGAAATAGAACCTTCCACAGGTTGGAGAACACTGGAAAGGCCAGGTAACTTCCCTATGGGAC